TAATCAACCTTCTTAAAATTTACTAGTTCAAGTTGAAGGGTTTTAGCAGCCTGGTTATAAATAAATAGCTTATCTGTCCCCTTACCTGGATTTGTAGACTATAAAATAACTTTCAATCTTTGGACTGACTGTAATAAAGTTTCTACTATGACATTATATAAATAAAAAAAATAAAAATAAAAAAATAAAAATAAAAATTTATATAAAAAAACACCTTTTGAAAAAATTGTTGATTTCATCCCTTTTTGTAGCACCTAGCCTATATTATAGTATTAAATTTTCTAGTTTTGATTTATTTTAGGTGAACTTATTGATAGTTATCTTAATTGCAGTACTGTAGATTTCTGAAAATAAGCTACCTTTTTGGCCAAAAAAGTGACACAAAAATTATGGGGTAGCTTATTTTTGGGTAAAGTTTTGAAAAAATTAATTTTTATTATTTCTTTAAAATCTGAAAGTAGTTTCTATATATAAAAGTCAAATTCTAATTAAGTAAATTAATAAAAGTCACTTAATAGGGGTTGTTCAGGACGTAAAAATACACATATCCTAAAAGGTTGAAGCAAATCAGAGAACTTTTTACTAAGATTTTATGTTTGAATATAAAATGCAAAACATCTTACTAAAAGGTTCTCTGATTTGCTTCAAACTTTCAGAATATGTGTATTTTTATGTTCTAAACAACCCCAATTAAGTGACTTTTATTGATTTACTTAATTAGAATTTTGATGTTTATATATAGAAACTACTTTCAGATTTTAAGAAATTATCAGAGATAGCTTATTTTTGAAATAACAAATTTTCTTATGTTTTTTCTTTAAGAAAAAAGGAGGTAGCTTATTTTTAGAGATGGCTTATTTTTGGCAATATACAGTATTACACATCATGAAAGAATTGAAATAGCTATAACAGCATACTTTTTTTTATATCTATGGAGATATCATATTGAAACTCTTAGTGATTCTTATTCTTTATATGTATCAGTTTCAAAAAACTTCTTAGCAATACAAACTTTTAATATTATGATTAGTTTAGTAGAACATTTAATTCTTTTAATTAAGATTCATAAAGATTATTATGAGGATATACCTTTACTACAATGGAAGCATGACACTAAATCTTGTGAACATATTTTTGGAGTTGGCTATCAGTTTTGACTTGACTTTATTTTTTTAGAAATTTTACAAATGGTTCTGAAGATAAGTCAGTATTTTAGATCTATTCAATTGGATTATTTATTATTTAAAAAAGAAAAAACAATTTGTGAGGATAAATATAAAATAAATTACTTATACAGGTCTTTGCTATAGCCTTATAGTGTATATAATATTATTACTTATTTGATTTGAAACTTATTCAACTTGTTCTAGATTATGGTTTTAATGAATACAAAAAAATTAATCTTTTGGACAATGATTTTGAGCATTTATACTATTGGCCTCTGATATTGACATTGATGATGCAATTAATATTGGTTATGAAAGAGCCATTTTTTTAGCAAGACATTTTGAAATAAATTCTATACCCAGCGATGCCTATTATTTTAATATCTACAAAAAAATTTCTACTTCGCAATTTGAAGATTTTTGGAATAAAGATTTAAATCTTGAAATAGCTATTAATAATGAATATAATATAGATAATAGTTTATCTGTTTCTTATTGTATAAGCGATGCAATATTTAAAATGAATAGAACCAAAAAATTAATTTAGATCTAGAGTCTAAACTTTCATTAGAAAAGCTTTATAGAGCTTGTAAAGTACTTGTAAAACAGATTCAAAAATTACCTGATATTCCATAGTTTCCAAGTGGTAAATAATTAATTTCTTTAATATTAAGTTTTATTTTTTATATAAATAATTTAAAATTTTATCTTTATAGGTTCTAGATCTGAGTTTATTTTAGATGATAATTTGTCAAATATTGAATTTTTGTTAAACTTATGCCAACGTCATGTTGCTCATTCAGAAAAAAATTTTGAACAAATTAAATTTTCTTCTAAAAACAATAACAAAAGGAGCTTTCTAAATAGGTTTAATATTAATAAGGCATGTTACATCTGACAAAAAATGATTTACTTTAACTAAATTATGAGAAAACAAATAGAAATCAAGTGGAAATAATAATAATAATGTAGTTAAAAAAATCATTCAGTAATTTATTTTTATTTAATATATTTAAAATCAGTTTTATTTATTTTTTAATTATACAATTTTTGTTTTTTTAGAGAATTATTTATGCAATAACGTAGCTCTTTTTCTATTTTAAATTGGGTCTTTTGTAAAGTTAAATTTGAAAGTATGTTATGTGTTGCTCAAATTATTGCTATGTATGAACAAGATAGTTTATTTTATTCATACATTGACACTCTTGTCTCAGATCTTGAATCTCTTTTTTATGTATCTTTGAAAAAATTTTTTCATATTAATGGCACAATTTTTTTAGCAATTCATAATCAATTTTATATTTTTTCTCATATTGAAGCTTTACATATTGTTTATTATCCGGCAGCTTACTATGATAGTGCTTGCCAAATAACTCGAGTTATTTGGCAGTGATTACATAATCTGCCAAATAACTTTGTTATTTGGCAGCTTACATAATCACTACCAAAAACTTGAGTCATTTGGCAAGCACAATCATTGTAAACCACCAGATAACATCATTATTGTTTGCTATGCAGCCAATAACTTGTTTATCTGGCAGCAAATTTGATAATAAATTATTTACAAATAATTCTCGTTATTGGCTACTTTGCATCCAATAACTATATATTATTTGGCTTCAAGTAATATTAGTATTAATGAGAAAGTATTAGTTTTTAAAAGACAAACAAAAGGACTGTTTAATATATTTAAGAAATAACAGTGTCTAAGATAAGTAATCTTTATAAGTATTACTATAAGTTTTATGTTGACACTAGGATTCCTCAAAGTCAAATTGAATTAAATATTTACATATTTGAATTTGATTTGATCAAATCAAATTCAAATCAAATCAAATTTTTTTGTTATTTTTGTTAAGTATTTTTGAATCAAATCGAATATTTTGTTAATTTGAATTTGATTTGATTTGAAATTTCTGTATTTGAATTTGATTTGAGATTAAATATTTGATCAAATCAAATCAAATCAAATCAAATTGTAGAACCCTACTTAGTACTATGCAGACTCTAGTGGATAGTTGATTTTAGTAAAAGAAAACCTATGCTCTTTTAGTAGTTTCAAGTGTTTTTTCTTTTTTTCGCATCGTGCCAACCTCACCAAAAATTTTGACAAAAAGTGGCCATTTCAGCTCACTCTCTTCAAAAGATCGGCATTGTTTACACTTACTTAATTCGGACGAACTCAGTAGAATGCAACTACGTGTTTGTTTTGTTTATCACTATGTTGCTACAGTATGGGGATAAGTTCAATAACCTCATTTAGGAGATACCCAACCCTGGTGACATGTCTAGAACAAGTCTCAACATTAAAGCAAAGCTTTATAGCCGAGATATTAATTAGTTGCAATTAGTATATAATTTTTACTTTTATACCTGACATAGGTTATAATAGTGTATTTGTTTTTTTTTTGTTTCTTTTGTTTGTTTTTTTTAAGGTGGTTCATCAGAACTCCTATGTCTTTTTTTCTGCTCTTTTCATTTTTATCCTATTATAATGGAACTATATTTAGAACCCCTTTTTTTTCAGTTAAATGTTTTTTTTTTCCTTTTTTTGTTTTTCTATTTCTTTTTCTAGATAGTTTTGTTTTCTTTTATAGATGTGGCATATTTTTTTTTCCCTTACAGAAAAGTAAGAGATAAACTATTCTGCTCAGATCTAGGTGAAAAAAGTTTAGAAGGAAGGATAGGTAGTCTTGATGAGCCAGTAAGAACCTTTCAGTGAAGATTTATTCTTTGCAAATACAGTAAAAGATATTTTGAAGAATCCTGCCTATAGCAGGTTGCATATAGATAATTTGAACTCTGGTTACAAAGAGCCGGGTGAGCTAATACTTGTAATTTAGGTAGCATTAGGATTTATACCCTACGAAAATTTTAATATTTCACAGTATAATATAATAAAGCCTAATAAAGTAGAGGCAAGACTGCTGAATTTTTTTTTAAAAAAAAAAAACAATGATTACATAACTAATAATTACTACCACTAAACAGACCAATAATAAACTTTACTAACCAAAGCCTACAGATTCAAAATACTTCAAGCCTAAAAACATAAAACAACTCTCTACTATTGTTAATATAAAATTCAAAAAAAAATTTCAACTAATTCTAAATTATTGAACATCATATCATGTGTAACCAAACTATTCATAATCACATGAATATGCATATTTTGTTACACTAAATTACCAGAGTACATCACGTGTTTATTTTCACGTGCGCAAATTGGTTTTATTTAAAAATTTGATTGTATCTGCACCAGGTTTAAGACAAAAATTTCGATTTATTTCGATTTGGCTAGAATTAAGTTCAAGTCAGTGACTCTGGTTGGAATTAGGGTGTCTAGGATTATGTGAAAGCATAATATGCGCATAATTTACCAAATTTTCACATTGCAGATGCTTCGCATAATTGGCCAAAAAAAGGCATCCATATTATTTAGCTAGAAAATAATTGGTCATTGGAGTAAATTCTGAAATGTTCCGATGTAAAAAATCAACAGACCTAAATTACGAGCATGGTCAAGGTAAATTTGATGGTAGACAAGCGAAAAATTCTGAAGATGTTGGATAGAATTATATATTAAATATTTTGGTTAAATTTATTTCGCATCCATCGCATAATTGGCCCCAACGCATCACATAATTTACCCTATCACATCGCATAATCCTGGACACCCTAGTTGGAATTAAGAAAATCACGTGTTTATTTCAAATTCCGGGCTTACTGTTAGATACTTGATACCGTATTATACAATTGGTATAATACCCGTATAATACCAGTATTATACACAGAGTAATACCATAATTAAAAATAATTTAGCCAATTAAATCGGTTTATTTGAGGACACGATTTAAACAAGCTAATTTTTAGAAATTTCCGACCATATTAAACTACATAGAAGCAAAATATTGGTAATACCGTATTATACAGTATCATACCATTTCTATTATACCGGTATAATAAAAACCCTACTTACTGTGCGGACTAGGGTTTTTATTATACCGGTATAATACGTACCAGGTATAATACCTAGTACATATTGTATAATACGGTATATATAACCAATATTTGCTTCTATATGGTTAAATATGGTTCGGAATCTTAGCTTGTTTAAATCGTGTCCTCAAATAAAACGATTTAATTGGCTAAATTGTTTTTAACCCTCTGTGTATAATACTGGTATT